TGGAATTTGTTCTGGTTTCTGTTTTTGAACTTTCTGAGAAATTAAAATAATAATAATAAATTTTCAAATTTATTTTTATAGATTTATTTAATATGTTTAAAATGAGCTATCAATCAGGAGGGAAAAAAGAGAAAATAACTCGCAAGAAACTTTTTGCAACTATCAGTTGTTGATTTGAACTAGATTTGGTACATAGGTAGAGGATGCTTTAAAATGGTTCAAAATGAAATCTTGCTTGCAATTATGAACTTGGTTTAGAAATAGAGGTCACTGTTATATACATTGTAGATATTGAAATAATTGGAAAATGTCCAAATATACTAACAAATTAAAAAAATTGTCATTACATTATTAGAAAAAATAGAGTATTGTAAATTATTTTACATTTCAAGGTAATCAAATTACCTTGAAATGTAAAATAATTTACAATACAATGAAAGCGTGGAAGAAACAAAGATAGTGTACAATGAATAATTGTACACTATCACTCATACCAATACTGTCACTGTCTGCCTCTGACTATAAACCTTGAGTCTGTATATCTAAATTAACAAATATGATGCATAATTAACAGAACACATCTTATTTTGCAAATAAAATTAAAAGGAACACAAAAGAGGCAATTACAAGTAAAATTTTGTTTTTAACCTAATCTAAGGCATGTATGGTCAGTACCTTTGTGCTAAATTTGGTCCAAATCAATTACTGACAATTGAAAAAGGCCTTATTATCAATTTATAAAATAAATCATATTTTATAATATGTAGCTTAATGTGCACTCATGTCCATAATTTAAGGAATTCACAAGTATGCATATTTGCTGGTGCTATAAAGGAACAAAATGCAAGTAGAAATGCTATATGGCTACTTCTGAAGGGAGTGATATAGATATATGCAAATTTAATAAGGAAATCTGTGTAAAAGTGTTTTCTCTCAGTTTGGAGAATTATTATTATAAGAGTTTATTACTGCAATGCATGTGTAATCATTATTATTGAACTGCAAAAATTGATTTGTAAGCTGTAATTGTGGCCCAAAGAAGACATATTGATGACATTATGCATGGCAGGATTATTGGGAAATTAGAGGCTGGCCAAACTTAGAGACAAGTATCACAGGAACTGAAGTTCCATCAAGTCTTTGCAACTGCTTTCAACTTAGCCAAGATGTTCAAATGTAATACAGTGAAGGCCACCCACATGTCAGGACCAGTAATTGGTCATAAATGCCTAATGCCATTCCACCAGTACATAAAGTGAACCGCTTAGAGACCTCTCAGCAACATCAGAAATAACTGTGTCTGTGAGATTCCAGAAGTGGGTCGAAATTCGTGCACCGAAAATGTTTTAATTTCGTATGAAAAAAATTATAATTATAATTATTATTCTTATAATATGGTAAAAAGAAACCGTCAAACGCAAAATGAATATTTTATGTCTGTATAAGGACATATCTGTAAAAATTTCTAAGAAAGTCAAACTACTCAGGTTAAAACAATGGATGAATTTGAGTACTTAGATCGAACATCTTCGATAGGAATCAAATTGTCAATCGGAGTTGACTCACTCCGCGATCTGGGCACTGATCTCATTACAATTCATAACGAGGAGGGGGACCAATTAGGGAGCGGGGGCAGATCGGCATCAACCTATCGGAATGTTCGATCTGGGACCCAGAAAATACTTATAAAAACCGCGAAAAAAAAGAATGTGACGTTCTTGGTTCGTAGTTCTTGGCCTTTGGTTCGCAGTGCTCCTCTCCAGGATTCTTGTCATCCGGACATTCTCCTACGAGAACTTGTCAGATATTTGGAGGACTTGTCTTCACCCTCCCGAGCCATTAAGATCACTAAAGTCCACCTTGTAGATAGAAGACCTCGGTTCAAATAGTGTTGTGCAGCCTGGAGTCGACGTCTTCACACCTCCATCGCCAGAAGAAAAACTATCGCCAGAACAGTTGAACTTTTAGTGTTAAGAACTTGTTGCTCGACTTTGGATAGGTGTTACGCCGTTTTAAGGATTTGTTGTAAGAAAAATTTTTATATTTATTAAACGGTATATGATGGAGAACCTGTCTCAGTAAGTTTTTTTGCTCCCACACGACAGTGCTGACTGCTCGACTGTCGCGACACTTTCTCCCCAATCAGCAAACCTCACATCCAGGCAAATGTTTTACAGACAACTACATGACATTAGTCTGTATGCAAAGTGGCCTGTTGTATACAATCCTTTAATTGCACAGTACATGCTGAACTGCAATACATTCTGTAGTGAATGCTTTGCATGGACACCATAACAATGTACCACTGTACTCTTTATTGATGAGTCCCATTATAGTGTAGAGATTGATAGTCAACAAGTGTACATCTGAGGATCCTTAGGCACATGTTATAATCCTGCCTATGTTATCAAATGTTATTGTTCTGGATATGGAGGCATCCTCGTTTTAGGTGGTATCATGTTAGGATCTTGTAAGTTGCTGCATGTGTTTAAACATGGTTCAGTAACAGTCAGATTTATAGAAATGTCATCCTGCAGCAGTATGTGCAACTTTTTAGAGGCTCATTTGGTCCTGGGTTCCTTTTAATGGATGGTAATGCTCGCTGTCATAAGTCTGGCTTGGTTCAGAAATACCTGGAATTCAAGGATGTAAAGCATCTATTTAATGGACTTAAACCCCATAGAAGAACATATTTGGGAAATCCTTGGTCTCAAGGTTGCAACACATCATTCTCTACTGCAGAGCTACAAAAAGTACTTGTGCAAGAGTGGGATTCATTATCTTGGGAACTGCTGGACAACTTCATAAACATTATGCTGAACCACTACGCAGAATGTTGTGCTGTTTGAGGCACCATACACACTATTAAGCTTCATAGGATCACAGGTGTGACATTCATGGCACAAGTGGTGTTTTGTGGAAAAGTCCAAGTCTGTCATTTTTTCCTTTTTTCCATGGGTTAGTTGAACCCAAACTTCTTGTCTTGCTGTATTTTGTCTTTTAATAATAAAACAGTCAAAAGTCTGCTCTGGCAGAATCTTTTAATGGAATGGCAGATGGATTGGAATAGTTACACAACCATAACTTCAAAACTTATTAATAATATTAAGGAATTTCTAAAAAATAAATGGTATTCACCCAGCCATAAACTTACTCAGATGCTATCCAACCATGGTGCTTTTCACTCTTACTTGAGTAGATTCAAATACCCTCACGACCCTAATTGTACTGTCTGTGGTACACCGGATGGAAATTTGCACTACATAATAGACTGTCCAATGATGGAATTGGAAAGATTTTCTCTCAAGATTATCCTGGAGGCACATGATGTGAACTGGCCTCCTCAAAATCTGGACTGCATTTTTGAGCATAAGGACTCTTAAATAATAATAATAAATTTTCAAATTTATTTTTATAGATTNTTTGTACATACGCGTTTTCTTGTTCAGGTGCAGGTAGCACCTTTGCATGCCTCGAACTGTGGTATGCCTCTTGTATATTCCAATTGTTTATTTTATTGTATTCCTCATTACATTGTATTTTCAACCTTTTTCTGATCCCACCCGGTTATGTTTCACGGCACCGGGATGTACTACGTATATTTTTATTTTAATAAATAACTGAACTGAACTGTATTTTGTCTTTGTTATATTTATCCAATTGAAATGTGTTTCTCACAGCTGAATGAGGCACAGTCACTGCATACAGCAAATTCCTTAAATTATGAACATGAGTATATAAAGATGGTTCAATTTTTAATTTTTTTTCAATGATTGCTTATCAGATTTATTAATATTGCAAAGAAACTTTTAATTAATTTTACAATGACATATGATAATTTATATTTTTCATTAAAGTTTAGATGTTGAATCAAAAAATAACAGAATTGAAGATAAAATTGAAATCATCTCAATTGTTAGTTTGGATTATTTATATAAGTGTAATTCAAACAGAAGTAATACATTGGTGTTTGTTTATTTTTGAATGCACTGATTTGAGTATTTATGTATTATATTATTTTGTTATAAATTGAAGTGAACAGAATTAATTGTGATATTATTCTCATATCTTAAAATATTAATTCACATATTCAAAAAGACATAGCAGATTTACAGTGTAACAATGTCTAATTTTTTTTATCATTAATAAGAACATATTCTTCAGAAATTATGTTAACATGTAAAGAATATTATCATCATTTAAACTAAAATCTTGATTTCTTATATTAATTTCAAATTATAAAATATAGTTTGCAGAATATATAATATGTATATATAATAGTAAATAACATTATGACATTTGCAGCTACATTAATGATAAACTTTTTGTAAAGGTAAAGTTTTTTTTTACCATTTATACAGTAAAACCTTGCTAAGTTGAACTGTATTAACCTGAAACTCATGAGCACAGTATGTAGTATTTTCTGTACAATACAGTCTTAATAACTCAAGTTGTTAGTATTTTTTAACTCAAACCTACTTTCTCATAAACCCTTCGCCTTTTTTATGTATATGATTTTTATTTTCTCATATGTTTTATGTGAATAAAGATGATTAAGATAATTTCCATGTAAGTACAACCTCACATCAACATTCCTTTATTGATAAGTATATTACTGGGTTTTAACAGGGATACAAGAGAATGCAATTGAAAGCATCATAAATTGTGTACAATTTTGTAATCATTTGGTGAACAGATTCTTGAGAAATGGCTTCCTAATAAGAAATCTGCTGCCACAGAAAAATTTGAGAAATTTGATATTATTAACTTATTAAAAGTCAGGATATTTACTCTTTCAGCTTCAGCTTAGTGTAGTTTTACTGTATATTGTATCCTAATTTCTCATTTTTAAAATGATCATTGCTATGCAATCTGAAAATATTTATATCTCATTTTTTACAGAAACTTGTACTTGAAACTTGAAATTTATTAAAACAAATTTAATATGCATAATTTTTAAAATATTTGATTTGTTGTATTGAAATGTTTTTTTTTTTTAGAAACATACAAAATGTCTATTTCATCTGCTCCAGGGAAAAAATCCAATCTTTTACATATTGGTTCAGCAGAACTACTATGTAAAAAATGCTATGAATATTATGGATATCCAGATTGGCTTGGTTACTGTTCTCTGTGTTATAAAGAACTTTATCCACCAAAAATAAAACAAGGAGAGATTAAACAGTCTAGAAAGTAATTAAAATATTTTTATTAATTGTTTATAATCTTATATTAAAATAAATTGATATATCATCATTGAACAGAATATCGAGAAGTGTTAGCGATGCTTCTGAGAGTTCATTGTCATTACGTTTTTCTAAGTTTGAAGAGAAGAAAAAACAGCATTCAGAAAAACGCAGTACAACTATTAAAAGCATCATGAAAAGAGGACACAGTTCAAAAGGTGAGTCAAGTCTTATGAAGATATAACTGATTTTTATAAAATTTTTAGCAGAAAAAAGATCTTGAAATACATATTTGAAGTGCATTGATAGAAAGTGAGCAAGCTTCCTTGGCAGTGACTCAAATTGATAAATTGCTGAAACACATTTTTTAAAGTAATGATTTAAACAAAATTTTGTGTATTAATAGAAGTAATAAAATAGTGTATCATGACTAGTTATGTGCCAGATCGTTAAAAATGTATATCCACGGATACAGATCATTAGTATCTAGATCCGCGGATATGGATCTCAACTTTCATACTTCAGCCGGCACCGGTGCATGTGACCTTGGACCGATAGTTGACGCTTTGCGTTAGTAATGCGACATGTTTTGACTTGCACTGCGCGTGTTTTTGTTTATAGTTTAGTGTGGTACGGGATAGCATAGATTACGTTTGTGTTTTTGGAGAGTATTGAGTTAAATTAAAATAAAAATAATGTAGACAAAAAAGTTTAGTAGTGTAATATGGAAATATTTTACAATAGTAAATGATTTTTGCATGATAAAATTTTTGCAATATGAATGTGCCAAATATGTGATTTTAAGAAATAAAAAGTGATTTGAATTGAAGTTATTAGTATTTTATTGCTACCTATCTTTAAAATTTTATATAAGTAATGAAATTCATTAAGATAAAAGATCCATTAAAAATCCGCTAAAAAAGTAACAGATATGGATATGGATCTATTTTTCCCCTTGGATATCCACGGATACGGATATCCTGCACATCACTAATCATGACAAAGGCCAATTTAAAAATTTGATCTAGAATGAGGGATATCAGGATCAAAGGTTATCCTTATGTTAAGTCTATGGGAAAATTTTGCATTGTAAAAACATAAACAAGCAAGTGCATACTACCTGGCATTTAAAATATGGCAAAGTTCTTGCCAAAATTTTTAATTTAATATTAATGTTTTTTTAATTTTTCTTGAAAAATTGACCATATACACCATAACCTATCTACATTCAGATACTATACCTTACCAATGTTTATTATGTAAGTTAAGAAAGTTTTAGAACAAAGGTAAGAATTCACTGTTTATGCAGAGGGATAAGTCACTTTAATTTAGCACCCTTAATGATAAATTCACTGCACTTCAATCAGGGATGCAAACTGTCACTGCACTTCAATCAGGGATGAAGTTCTCCTAGTTATTTAAGATATTTATGATTTGTGATATTTTTATATATAAATTATGCAAAATTTTTACTATATGTTTTGTATAGAAACATCACCTCAGTCTGTAGGAAAAGAAAGGCAACCAAGTTTTGAAAATCAAGCATACAAAGATTTTTCTGAGTCTATCAGTTTATTCCCTGATGCAAACATTATATTTAAACAAGTTCGTAGTGTTATTGATCAGATTAATAAGAGCAAAGATCATTCAATTGATGAATTATCAGAAATCATTCAAGAATTCTACCAAAATTTATCTGATAGAATGAAAACTCAGTCTGCATTTCATAGTAAGTAATTTTTACAGATTTTGTAAAAAAAAAACTTTTTTTTCTTTTTAAAAAAATGCATTTAATATTTATGTGTAAAGTATATACTTTATACTGTTGACTCTCAATAATTTGATAATAACATAAGAAACAGAGAAAAATTTTTTGGTTATAGAAATTACTATTACTTTAAAAAGATTGTAAATATCACAATGTGAACATATATAGTAATTTAAATATATGCAATTTTTAATGATTTCTCAAATATTAGATATTGTAAACACAGGTTCGAACTATACTATTAATAAAAAAGTCTGTTTTGTTGGCTTTGTGCTTGATTACTTCAAAAGCATTTTGTGTTAGTGTGAGGTCAGCCGATTAGGGGTGAGGTGTTCGACAGCCGAGCGGTTCGTTCTGTTGTGTGGACGCAGATTGACTTCCTGAGACAGGTTTACCATATAACCGTTTATTAAACATAGAAATTTTCCTTACAAATTACTTGTTAGACGAGGTAGCACCCCAAAGCACACGGATAAAGTTCGAAATAAAGTTCGTAAAAGTCGGTTTTCGTCACTAGTGGATGGACGCTGTCGGTGAAACACTCGGTGGGCCCCGGGGCGTTGATTACGGCTTTCGGCGGCTTCTCGCGGACGATCCGACGAATCTGTCGATTGCTAGGAGCACCCAGAGAACGATGCTTCCACGATGTTCCAAAATGTCCTTTTTTTTCTAAGATCTGGAACACGCCCGTCCAGGAGACGACACACTACGTATCCAAACACCAAGAACCAAAAACCAAAAACCAAGCCCCTTCGTCTCTTGAGTCGCACAAATTTATAGATTTTTTTACAGCAGTCGCCTCTCCATTGGTCTCTCATTGTCACCTGGTGACAATTCGAAACCTAATGGAGGGCGCGGGAGAGGTTAACATAGCGACTGAATATGATCCTCTCTCTCTCGTCGCGTTTTCCTCAAATTTCTCCGTTTCCATTGTTTAACTAATTTTCCGAAAAAAACCAATTGCATTGTTCAATCGAGACACCTAATCCGTTTCCTTATCGTCTGAAAAGGAGCTCTTTATTTTCGATCAAACCCATTATTCGGACCTCTCAGTCGACCCCTGTTCGGGTCCTCACATTAGATGATTTCTATGAAACCCACAAAAGCTCAAGAATTTTTCAGGCCCACACTATATGTAATAATTAGAATATTAGAGATAATAAGAATATAAGAGAGTGCTTGCTGCTATGAAGGATTTTATTTGAATCCAGCTAGATTTTTAGAAATTATCATAGATGATTTGGCCCAGATATTGATATAGATTGGCAGAGATGATTGGCCCAGACTCCTCATCATTTGGACACCTCATATTGGCTTAGCTGAATCCATGGTCCAAGATCTTATAATTTAGGAAAAACTGTACTATATTTACTGTGTGATGTGTATAAGTTTTGAATTTTTTTACATTTAAAATCTGGTTACTTGAAATTTTTGAAGGCTTGACACAAACTATTATCTCAGAGCCAAAGGAAATATGTCACTTATGAGTGAACAGCAACAGAATATTCACAAAGTTTTCAATGGCTTCTCTGAAACTGAATATTGGAAATGAGTGACTCTACTAGATTTTTATGGAAAGTTTCAAAATGGCTAAATTAAGCTACAATTCATATAAATGTAACACAAATAGCCTCAAAATTTATACATCACTTATTCTATATCTGTCTAAACTTCTCCTATTGTTAAGTGCAAATGCATTTAGATTGTTTTATACTAATAAAATCTTTTTCAGAATGCAAGCTTTACCCTTCACATGGCCAATATCATCAATTAAACCACATACAAAATTAGGTTTGCACTAAAGTCACCAGAACCACTATATATGAAAATAACTCAAAAACCCATTTGGGCTATATATAATATGGCTATGCAATTAATTAAATGCTAAATTTGTCTAGAGGTAGTTATGCTGTAATCTCATACTAGATTTAATAATTATAATAAATTTAATTTAATTTAGAACCACTATATTTTGAGTTACAGAAATATGCTTTCAAAATTATTTTAGTTTATTGAGATACAGAATGCATTGAAGTTCTAAGAGCTATAATGGAATGAAACTAAAATCTGACATAACAATAGATTCAACTTATTGAAATTTAATTGTGATTTTATTAATTGTAACTGAGTTTTAATTTTTTAAATTGAACCTTTTCATGTAGAAAAAACTCCTGAGGAATTAGAACAGTTAATGGATCATTGTGAAAAGTATCTTATGACTCGGTTATATAAAACTGTATTTGGACAAATATCATCAGAAGATGAAGATAAAGATTTGGCTTTACAAGGAAGAATTAGAAGTTTGAATTGGGTAACTGCACAACATCTAGAAACTGACATTAATGAAAAACATCCTGAAGTTAGAGATCTTATTGATAAGGCAATAACAGGTAAAATTTATATTCTTTCACTTAAAATTGAAGTGGCTATCTTAACAAATTTACATTAAATTTAATAGATATTATTGAAATGGATTCAAAGAAAATACCAAAAGAGAAGCTTATTTGTATTGTACAGTGCAGTAAGAACATTTTTGCTGTACTTAGAGTGTGTCGTGGAACACCTGCTAGTGCTGATGAATTTTTACCGGCACTAGTGTATATAGTCTTAAAAGCAAATCCACCTCGTTTACAATCTAATATTAAATATATTACAAGATTTAGTAATCCTAGCCGACTGATGAGTGGGGAAGATGGATATTATTTTACTAATTTGGTATTTATGATTGATAAAAAGTTTAAATTATAATAATGTATGTTTTGGAAATTGATTTTTATATTGTTTATTTTTTAGTGTTGTGCTGTTGCATTCATTGAGAATTTGACTGCTGAATCATTAAATTTGAGTAAAGAAGAATTTGATAGGTATATGTCAGGTGAAGCAGTACCACCAGGATCTTCTAATCAAAATCCTGCACTATGTGAAGGCCTCAGGGTGATTTATCAAAATCTCACAGATTTATCTGATCTCCGCTTGCGCCAAGAAAAACTGGAGGATGATATCTTATCACTACAAGAAGATTTAGAAAAACTAATGGTTAGTATAACTGTGATTTATAATTGTTATATTTGTCACTAATTATGAGCTAATTTTCCTGAACTTACAATTAATAAGTCTGTGGCTGGAAATTCTTACTGGATGAGCATAATTAAAGTATTCCCATTCAATGTTGTTTAGAGAGATCTTTAGCATTTCAAATACAACCAAATTTAATATAAGGATATTCCAGGACATGTGGAAGATATTTCTATAAAAAGAAATATCAGTATTAAAACTCATCACTGACATTTTTGGACTGAAATTTGAAAAAATTGTAGACCTATAAATTCCCACTGTTGTCTGTCTGTTTTTCCTTAATCTCAAAAACAAAGTTAGATAGATGAAAGTTGAGACCAAGTATGAAAAGCTTATGGGCAGGAGGTCTCAATTAACTATATACGAACTTCCAGTTTGTGCCAGAAGTCATGTTATTTCAATTCAAAAATATTTCTCTGAAAGGAGTTAGATGACTGGCATGATTCTATTGCTAACAGGAAAAGTATGATATACAAGAGCAAGACACAACTAATTTGTGGTGGACAGCATATAATTTAAATTAAATTAAATTGACGTTGTGATGATGTCACAATAAATAATTGCTTGTTGCTTTTTGTATCTTAATATGTATGAATTTTGCTTTTGGAGACACTTAAAAAAAGTGCAATTTATTGAGAACATGTTGCAAATTTGGCAGCTTTGAAAGATTAATTACAGTTGGCTTTGAACACTGTTTGTTGCCTTCAAGTTTTACACTTTCAGAATGAAGAACACATTGAGCACTATCTCTATATAGCATGAATTTCACATACAGATAAAATGTTTGTTGCTTCAGTGCCAAAGTGGTTAGTTTTGATACTATATTTTTTATTTTGTATGACAATGTCTTGCATGTCTTGGAGTGTCATGATACCAAACTTGGTTGCATTTGGACTACTAAATATATCTCTTAGACTGCATTAAATAAAGGTACTTTAATTACCTTTCAATTCAATTACAAATGCCAACAAACTGCCAGATTATTTGTTGGGGTGTAACAATTCATTTTCATTTGATTTGGCATTTGTAATTGAATTAAGTTAACATATGTTATTAATTATGATTGCCCAGTATAAGTAAAATAAAAATCAAATTTGCAGATAAAAATATTTATCTATTTATAAAATTAATGAAATTTGAGGCATTACATCTCATCTTTAGATCCTTTAATTACGTTGTCGGATAAATTCCTAAATAGCATTTGTAAGTTAATTGAAAGTCTGAAGCAGAAAAGTAGCATCTCAAAAATGTTTCTTTATTTTTTTTTATCAAATCTAGAGTAAGAAGATTGCTCCAAAAGTAGCACCTCAAATTTTTTTGTTGGGAAAATATTTCAGCTAGGGAAATAAAATTTGTCTATAGCTTCAATCAAGATATATATATATATATATAAAATCTCCATATTCCACAGATAATCTTTATCTACCCTTTAACAAGACACTATATTTTTTTTGTAAAAGTTGCTATCAGTCTGATTGAACTGTTTTCATTTTATTATTGTTACAGAAATGTTGCTTTCAGAATATGTTCTTCATTAGAGTAAAGATAAAATCCAATAAATGAAAATCCAATAAAACTAGATCAGGACTGATTCACTTTCTGTTACCTTTCATTACTTTAGTACAAAGTTATCTGGACCTTGACTTCTTTTTCATTAATGTATCTGATGTGTTAATATGACTCATATTGACATGTTCTATCTATAAATGTTGACGAATATTAAGTAATACAATATTCCCACTATTCAGGAACTGTCACATGTTTAGTCCATGCATCAATATTATCGTTATTTCAACAGCCAAATTTGGCATCATTAGATAGACAGAAGTGAAACTATCAAGATTATAAGTAGCCTCAAATACATTCTTGATAGTCACATCTTATTTACATATTTTTTCCCTGCCAGAAAAAAGTTTGGTGCATTACTTTGAAGTAACCTCATATCAGACATTTGAAAATAATATATGCAGTGGGTGATTGGTTAACGAACATAATCTGTTCCAAGACTTTGTTTGCTATCCGAATTGTTCATTAACTGATTATTGATTTACCATAGTGTGAGGGAAGAACAGACCCACAATAAAGTGTTATTTTAAATTTTAATTATTGGGAAATTCAATCATCTAAATTCCAGAGTTTTATCAAGTTAGGCTAAAAGCCATAAAAATTATTTTCCATGGAGTTGGTTCCTTGTTGATCCAGCTAGTCAGTGATGTGTCACCTGGAACTATCAATAAAGTGTCCACATTGGATGCCAGACTCTTAACAACCGCCTGACCTCATGGGAAAAACCCAAGAGGAAGAACAAGGGAGAACGAAAAAAAACCACCCAAAGTCAGTCCACTTAAGTTGTCCTCCGGGATTTATACCGAGACCAAGACTCCTGGATTAATACCATGCCTCTTTAAGGATATCATCCCCACTTCAGTGCCTTCACACCTCCGGGCTCCTGTTAACAGACAAGACCTAGAACTATTTTTGAGCAAACATTCCATCGGCAGTGTCATCTGACCACTTATCTTTGACCCAAAAGAAAGGTATTTATCAACCCGCGATTCATTTGTAAACTCTCTCTTTTGAACAGCCTAGTATAATTAGGGGCTATGCCAGAAATCGAATATATCTGTATTTTCTTTTGTTATAATTAAAATTGTTATTTATTTGTTACTATGGAGTCCGAGTGAGTCACTTCCTCGTCTCTCTCCTCATCTCTACTCCGAATCTAACCGCTCACCCGCTACCGCTCGCATGACGTAAAGTCGCGGTTTCCAAGTCCTGCAAGACTCGGTGGTGTCACATCCTGATGTGGTGTCAAAGAGACACCAACCCTACAGTCACAATAGGTTTTAATGGGAATTTAATTAATTTGTTCTGGAGACACCCAAAAATGAAAAATATATATTATACTTTCTTACTGTTTATTTATATGTAATAATAAAAACATTACATACATACATACACAGTTTTGCATTTTTATTAGTCATGTTTTTTCCGTTTGAAAGGGTTAAAGAATCTGTCTAATGTTGATTGCTTTTCTCTCTTATTCAGGATTTTTCGTAAGTAATTAATAGCATTGCAATTGTAGAAATCTCCAAGCCTCAACCTGGTTTGGATGCCATTCTAAGACCGTTGTTCTGACATCCTCCCACTTCTTCAAAGGATCTTTAATAACAGATATCGACATTAATTCTCTTTTTCAGAAGAAAACATATCTCGCCAAGTTTCTTGGTGTTCTTCATTCAAGAGTTCTTGTTCTTCTGTTGTCAGATCCATTTCAGGTTCCATTAAGAGCTCTTCGATGTTCTTTATTTCTCAGATGTGATTTTTGTTACTCCTTTAGCTTCTTGAGTCTTCTTGATTATACAGTATCTTTCTTAGATAAGATTGACTGCAGCCTACTATAGACCTGTTCAAGCCATACTGACCAGCAACAACAGACATCAGACATCTGCTCACTCTCTACCTTTGCTATTATACTCTCATCTTTTGAAAAAAAAAAACGACGCTAAACTTAACGAGTGCCTACCCGACAGTTTTGCGAATATATAAAAGAATTGTTTTGTCAGAAAAATAAAAGGCTGGAATTACAAGGGAGAGTTTCAAAGTTCGGAGGAATACTATCTGATCGGTATATACCGGCTTGTGTGTCGATGTCGACATCTCCCACACTCCGAAAAGTTTTGAATTGTTGTCCAAAGACAAGGGAAGACCAATTAGTATTCATTATCTTACGTCGCTTCTTCTTGTATTTGTTCTGTGGGGTGTTTGTTGTCTGAACATAAAAATCTTTTGCGAAAATGTTTGTTATCCAATCTGTTCATTAACCGATCACCCACTGTATATGTTCTATATTACAGTGGTACCTCAGGTTATGAACGCCCCAGCATACGAAATTTTCAGGATACGACATGAAATTCGAACATATTTTTGCTCCACGATACGAACAAAAACTCACCATACAACGTTACATTAGTTTGCATTTTTCATTTGTTTTTCTTACTACAGTTATTTTTTTAATGTATTACTTGGCTTTAATTTGAGTATGTTTTTCGCGTTGGAACGAATTATTTGATTTTACATGTAATCATATGGGAAAAGATGATCCACCTTACGACATTTTCATGATACGATCTCAGTTTCGGAACGGATTAATTTCGTATCCTGAGGTACCACTGTATGTAAATTATATATTATAAATTTTTTAAAAAGAAATCCATTTTTACAAGTGTGTTAAAAAGTTTTTAAATAAATTTTTTGAAATATGGGTTATTTTTATGCTGAATTATATTATTGTATTTTTGTGCATATAACTTCCAGAAAATTGCTAGAACAAAAACAAAACCTTCACAATAACCCATCCGAACATATGGTAGGGTGAATTATTATAAAGGTTTATTTTTGTGAGGGGAAAAAATCTTGACTGAAATTATACACGAATTTTATTTCCCTGGCTGAATATTTCCCCAAGAAAAAAAATTTGAGGTGCTACTTTTGGAGAAATCTTTTTACTCTAGATTTGATAAAAAATAAAGAAATGTATTTGAGATGCTACTTTTCTGCTGTTTTTATATGTTACTTTTTATAAGTAACATATGATTTTTATCTGTAATATTGAAGCATGAACTTATTTCATAAAACAAAGCATCCTGTAATAATAGATGTGAAAAAATTATTTCTTCACTTAGTTTTGTGAAATGTTTAGTAAAAAAGTTCTCATCGTAATTTCATTTCTTCATTATATATAAACAATCTAAAATATTAGTTTACATATTGAAAAATCAGGCTATTAAAAATATATTATCAATTTGTATTTAACATTTTGATGTTTATTTGTTTAATATTTTTTTATTGTATAATTTTTACTGAATTTAATGCTTAATATGCTTAATTGCTTAATTTTTACTGAATTTATGCTCTTCATAATAGATAACCAAGGTCCACAAATTTTATAAGTAAGCACAAATATTTTAGAGTGAATATGTAGAAAGATTATTATATAAAATAATTTTAATTGATATAATGCAATCATGGCTTTCAAATTATCTTCAAATCAAAAAATTTTTTAATGTTTTTTTAAATTTAAATTTATAAATATTTATGAGTATAGGTATGATTCTCATTAATTTAGACCGAAAGTAAGCATATTAATTTATCCTCATATTATTCAAAATAAATTACAAAAAACAGCAAATAAAAATATTTAAAATTACAATGGAATAAGTTCTCTGGATGCACTTTTAACTTTACATTAGGCATACATTTTCTTTTTAAAGAATAGATGCTTGGATTACTATTGTAATCCAAACATCTATTCTATTGTATTTCTTAAATTCATGATAATTTAAGAAATAGAAAATAAAAACTTATTAAAAAATGTATACATGTAACTTATGTATGTTCTGTAATTGTAAACAGAAATACTTTTGTATTTTTTGATTATTAGAAATAGAAAAATAATGAAACAAAATTTGTTAGTTTGATTTATCATTTCACTTTTATTTCAAGCAATTGTTACAAGCTGTATTCAAATGCTCATTACAAACCTATCTTCATGTTTATTACATTTTTTTTCTTGTTAATTTATTGTGAATTTACCACATTCATAACACTGACCTAAAATGCCATGTTGTTTTCCATGAATAATGTTTTGAGGTTCTTCAATTACCAATAAAAGTGTTCCCCTTCTTTGTATTTTGAATGAAATATTTGAGATAGAAATCTTTTCAGAATCAAGGTTTTGTTAGTTATATTTTCTATAAAATCTTGTTTCTTTATACTTTCCTCTTTATGATTAGCTCTGTAGATGCACAGTACATTGATGCCAGCAATGTTCAGCATGTTATAAATAATTAAAAACAATCAAAAAAATTAAAAATAATGTTAAAAGATAGGTCATTGACCTCTTAACAGCTAGTGTGGGAGACAAGTATATAGCCTCCACAAGGAAAAAAGTATATAAATAAAGAATAGTGATGGATTATATATCTAATACATGAACGTTACGGAAGCGAGTTAAAAAATGTTTTAAAATGAATATCTTAAATGGAGTTACATGTTATATGAGAAATTTGTTTAATCTTAGTTTCAGCAGAACCATCAAATTGTATACACTTCTGACAGTCCAAAAAAATATTTGGTTAATCTTTTGACTAGACATTAAATGTAGAAACTTTTTATTAAAAGTAGCTAATTAGACTACTATCTTGTGCTAATATTAATTATTTAGAATAATATTAAAGAAAAGATTGATCTAGAGCAGAACAAACACCTGCATCTTCTGCTTATGTACAGATGCATATTATGAGTTGTGTCATTTAGACCTCTGTTCAATCATCAAACTTCTAAACCTCTTAATTTGGATTATATTATTAAACAGGCTAATTACTGGTAATAAATCTGCATGATAAAGAGCTTGAGATGCTCAAAATTATCAAACATCCATTTTTTATCTTACATTTAAAAATTTTAAAAAGCAAATGAAAAAGAATGACATAAAAAGTTAGTAACTAAGATAATTTCTAAAGTACAGTACAAGTAATTGAGTAACATTCTTCAAAAAATAACAGAAGGCTTGTGCCCTGACACACTTGAATCTGCCTTGAGCAGCATCCATATTTTCAAAATTCTGATATTCCAATGTTTCTGTTGTAATTTAAAAGATTAAATATTTCGTTATATACTTTTTGTGAAAACTATATTAATGTATGTGGATATAAAACATTATTTGAAATTTAGTATAAATTATAAAGAGAATTGGAAATTCACAGAATATAAAAATCCCAAATGTAATAAAGATGTTATGAATGGATTAATTTCAGACTCAAACTAAAATATTGATGCAACTCTCAGAGATCGTATTTATAGAAGAAATTAATAGTATAAATAGTATTGGACAGAAGATTAATATGAAGATTTCTGAACAATACTCTGATGTTAAATTAGAGAAGCTAATGCAGAAATTAATTATTACAAAAATGAATGTTATAGAATTGAAGAAAGTAATATTGAATGTGGTAAGTTAATTTTGATTAAACTTTTTCAGAAAAATAAAGGATGTGACTGACAATATAAATATTCTGAATAGTCAGTTGAAATCTTGTAATAAATATTTAGTATAATTACAAAATGAGAATTTGAAATGAATAAGAAATATAATAAATTAAAAACAGTTAAATGTATTAGAACAAAAGGGATGTGATACTATAAAGATATAAATGATATTTTTCTATGATTGAAAAAATTACAAACATAATTGAATATTTAAAGTGACCCAAAGAGGATAGGGAAATAATCATTGAAATTAGAATTGAATCACCTAAACTTGCCCACTAGTTTTCTGATTTCTTATGATTGAACTCATCTATTTATGGTTTCATTTATACTTTTAGTATTTCTGTCAGAAAATATATATTAAAAAGAATATCAGATATGAGTTTAAAATGCATTAAATGTATGAATTAAAAAAATATGAAATGAAAATATTCAATGTAATGTTTATATATTAAAATCATCAATGCTAAAAAATATTTTAGAAAATAAAAATATATAATTCACATCNTAGCTCGAGAGCAGGGTTGTTCCAAGCCTTTCTAAAAGGGTACTAAAAAGAGTATTAGATAACAAAAAATGGTATTAAGTTTTCTTTAAAAAATCGACTAGTGACGTGAGATAGTATTTTTTTAAATCGATATTAATATCGATAATACGACATACGTACAGTACTTTCAGAATCAATACATTATGTCAAAATGATCTATTCACTAATGCAGGCATTACTTTGACCGTAAACTGCTGAATGTATGTATATATTATAGTTACTGATAATTCATCCAGTTAAACAAACAAAAAAAATGTAAAAAAACTAATTAAGGAAACCAACAGTAAAAAATCTCTGAGAAATGTTTTTGGTATCAATTTTCACTAGCTTCAACTCTTGAAAAGAATGCAAAATACAAGTAGTGTTTTATACAGATAACCCCCATATAACACGGCACTTCTGTAGCACAGATTCACTCTAACACAGTTCGAGAATTGGGAACATCCCCCGTATAACACAGTTCTTTTATAGCACGGGTTCACTCTAACACGGTTCGGGAATTGGGTAAAACCCTTGTACAACATAAAATGTAATAAAGGGTGCATTCTTTTATATCTCCGCATAACTCCACACAAGCATTCTAATTGTTTTCATGGCTACTTTGAATGCTCTTTCAACAAATAATCTGTTTAATGGTTAAATTATACAATTGGGACCCTTCTTTTGCCTCTAAAAGCTCATTTTAGAATTATAGATTCCTCCACGCAATACTATCGATAGTGTGGGCACTGCATCTTTCTTTCACCGTCATTCCTAAATGCCTACAAACAGCAGCACATTCCTGTTGCATAGCGACCACTATTAACAAACGCACCCACAAACTGTTACCAGTTGATGATGCTCATGCTGAGATCATCATATAAAATGAATAATCCTCTGGTAAAATATTTACTTAAATAATAAATAAGTATTTAACATTTGAAAAAAAATGAATAATAAATCCGATTTAAATAAGGATTTAACAACATGTTTTTTAATTTTTGGAACCTAACCCCTCCTTTTGCACTAGTTCTTTGTTTCGTATAACACGGCAATTTTTTGGAACGTAACTCCCATGTTATATGGGGGTTACCTGTATTTCTTTTATTTAAAGCATTCAATGTTTTTGAAAGATGGAAAAATAGAACACCATTTATATTCTGTCTTCTTTTCAAAAGAGCCTGCTGGCAAATTAAAAACTGAAGATATTTCTCAAAGATAATTTATTGTTGGTTTCCTTAATTAGTTTTTTTTTTTTTGTTTAATAATAATTTTTGGTACCAAGATAAATGAAATTTCTGAATTCATCCAGTGTTGTTTGCCTGCTGGATTTTATAGTACCATCTTTAATAACATTAACAACAACATATACTTGTAGTTGAAGTAAGAAATAAAGTAATTTAAACTTTATTTTTATTATTAAGAGCAAAAAATGGCTAAAATAATTCATATTTAACATTTACAGATTAGTTAGCTACATAAAGTATTACAAGTTAATATCACTGAAACTTTAATAAAATTGAAAATTTTTTGTACAGTATACCACATCTCAGAAAGGCTTTTTGAATCATGGTAGAATTCAGCTTGCCTGCTGTCCTCTGAGACAGGCAGGATCTCTTTGAGACATAATATAGAAGAAAAACTTGATTCTATTAAATGTGAGGGAAGATCAAAACAAATTAAGACTGATTTTTCTCTCACATGCAGGCAGCCCCTCTGGAGCATAGCAAGAATAGTCTTTTTCAGAATTCTCCATGGAATTCAATCCATTTTTGCCAGTCCTGAAAGATGTGTAGTATATCCATCCTTTGATATGTTCTTTAGAATTGCTTCTGATGCTTTGACACTCTTGTGGACAGGAAGTGGATTGTTTGTAACTTTAACTGTAGTATTGGGAATAAGAAAAAGTAACAGTATACCGAATTTGGGATATACAGTGGATATAGGATGCGTATGATTTTCTTGGACAAAAATTCAGTTCAGCAATTAGCCACATTAGCAATAGGGAAACTGGAACATTTCCAATAGATATGATCCAACAGTATGTATAGAACTAACAGATAATACTATTTGGTGACTTGTATGAGATAGACTATCCTTACCCATCAAAGAAAATGATGACTATTACCTCACCAGTTGATAGAGCAAATCTTGTCTTCTGTGGAGTAGAAAACGTTCATAATTTCCATACTATATTGACTTGTCAAAATTGAAATGATATAGCCAAGTTTCATGTACAGTAACAACCGATTGCAGAAATGCCTTATCCAAATTGGCAACCAGATGGTGCCACTCTAGCGAAATTCTATCTGAATATATTTTTGCATCTACTGAGCAGAAAATTCAGAGTAAAACATTGAAACCATGTCAGGCTTTTCTTGCTGCCTTCTCTTCATGACCTTGCTTACTCAAGGCCATGCAGAGAATGTAGCAAGAGAAGCATAACATGGTTTCACCACTCCTTTCTTCTTTGCGTCTGTCCACTTTCCCTTTGAGTATTTTAACCAGACAAAAAGTCTTTGTACTGATCTTGAGATGTTCTACAGTTTTATAATTTAAATTATGCTATTATCAGTGATAGGAACAGAGATAAGATTTGCTCCAGTATGAAGAGGATTAGGAGTACTTTACAAGTCTGTCAAGAACTGATATGTGACCTGGAGTAGAATGGACTCTTTTTACCCTTCAGCATGTTCCTTGTTTTTGTTTAAATATATGAAATATTTAAAATGTTTCTTTACTAATAAAAAGTATTTTAGTCATTTTTATTATTGTTTTATGTAGAAACAATAAAAACTTTTATTGTTGTTTCTATATTGTGATTATTTATATATATATTTACAGTCCTTGGCCATTTTAACTAATTTTTGTATTAATTGAAATATTTTTTAAATAATAAAAATTAGTTATTAAGATTTTATTTTTTGTTTGTAAAAAAAACCCCAGTTTGTATGGGTATGGGTATATTTCATGGTATAGATAATATACTTTTAAATTATTTATATTATAATTTTATTAATACATTTCAGAAAAGTGTAAGTGAAGAAGTGCAGGCCGTCATTAATCGAACTGCCTACATTCGACAGCCATACAAAATTCCTTCAAATATTGATATTCGTCTGGTACCATCAGCAGTTAGACATAGAGTTGAAAGAGAAGTAGAGATGCAAGAATTAATTAGTCTGGAAGACTTATCACATAAGAGTGTAGAAAATAAAGTGTTTCAAAAACTAGCAGATTATCAGAATAGTCAAGAAATTACAAAACTTTCCAGTCAAGATAACGACAGTATTGCAAGTGATAATTTGGAAACTGTTGAAGTGCCAACTGTTATTGAATGCATTCAAAATGCATCTTCATCACAGCAAGGGTTTCCTCTCGATCCTCTTTCACCAGAGCCAGCATCTAGTACCGAAAATCTTCATCTCCCTCCTCCATTACAACCAATTATTCTCTCTAGTCCACAAGGAAGTGAGTCTCAAAATAAAGACATTCCTTAATTTTTATTAGTACAACTCTCTGTTATTTAACTATTATTTATTAAAGAACAATTGTTTGCATTCAAATTTTAATTCATAAATTTATAAAAGAATGTTTTGTATAGATGTATCAAAATATTCAAATTAAGTTTAAAAAAAAAATTAAAAATGAGTTAAAATGGAAACATTCCAATTATTCTTAAGTGACATCTGTTGATTCCTGCAATTCTTACTCAGATGACAACAGTATTTGCACATTTTGGAATTTTTTTCTTTTATATAAGTGCAATCATTTTAATTGATGCAAAGCACTCAATGGTGTCATGATAAAATATACTATATCATCAATCATCAAAAATAATTAAATAATTTAAAAATTTTTATCTGCTGATTTAAATATTTGTGATATTACAGTATTGTTTATTTTTTAGTGTAAATACTGGAATCGTGTTATTATTGTGAGAAAATCATAATTGTAGTTTCTATAATTAAAAAGTTATTTTTTAAACATTTGATTCAGTCAATGTCAATTTAAAAATATATAATTAAAATCTGGATTTTTTTTCATCTATTTTGTTTGTAATCTTTATTTTAAAAATAGTTGATTTTTATTAATGTGTATATACATAAATATAACTGAAAACACAATATTCTGGAGATATCAAAACAAAACTTTTTCACTGTTCTAGCTGAAATGATTAGATTTAATACAATCATATCCATGATATTGAATTGAATTTGAGGGATCAAATAATTTCAACTTCTTAATTATAAAATACGAGATAAAATGTAAATTGTACGAAAGTATTTATTTATTTAGCTCATTATGCTTTATATTTTTGGGGAAAATGCTTATACTTTTTTGATGAGACTAATACAGTAGTCTGTTATATTGCACTTTTTTTTGTCTCCAAATTTTAAAACCACTCAAATCAATAAATTTTAAAATATTGATTGGCATTGAATTTCTTTTTGCAACGAAATGTGGTATTTTATTCTTGCTATTGTCCTTGTGCGATATTCCAAGCACAATATAATGAGGGGGTACTGTATTGTATTCATATATACTTGTGTAATATTGATTGTATAAGCTTATTAAGACAAAAACTTACTCAGAGGTTTGGGCTAGAAGGGAAGGGATAAGAGAAAAACAAGATTAAAGTAAGAAGGAAACATCAAGGGTAACCTGGCTAGGTAAAGAAACGACAGGAACAAAATGCACACGAGCAGACAAAGTTTTACAATGTGGCAGTAAATAACTAAATATACATGGTTCTTTTATTCCCATGCAGGGTATCAACGAAAATTCCAAACAGAAAAAAAAACAGTTCACTCCATATCAAAACAGATAACCTGACAATTGGAAACAGCAGCATGTCTGTTTCCACATGGAGTTAGCTGTTTCTTCTCCTGTTGGGATTTTTTCACTTCTCTTGCAAGGAACTGAGAAACTTGAAAGTATATTTTAAACATTATTATTATGTTGGGTTTAGTGGGTAATACTCGGTTTAAACCGGTGGCTGTGTACTATGCCGGATGAAAGTCAAGGCATAGCAACCAAAACAAAACTAAAATTAAATGTGTGTGTCAGTGTCTGTATTAAGGAATTTCCTAACAATATGGCATGTATTCAATATAGTGGCCTTCTGTAGTGTGATGTATGTATTTCTACTCAATTGTAATGTTCCCAGGCTTTTGTGTAGTGTGTGTGGTATCACACCTGTACAGGAGAGAACAACAGGTACAATAAGCACCCTATCCATCCTCCACAGATGCCTTATTTCCTGGGCGAGTTCTGTGTACTTGCTAATTTTTTCAGTGCATGTGTTTTGTACATTGTGAGTGTTTGGAATGGCTATGTCTATAATGTATGTGATTTTATTGTGTTTGTCAATGAGTGTGATGTCTGGTCTGTTGTGGTAAATTGTTTTATCTGTGATTATGGCTCTGTCGTAATACATTTTGTGCGTGTTATTTTCCAATACTGTCTGTGGAATATACTTGTAGTATGGTTCGTGGATGTCTGCCAATTTGTGTTTCTTTGCAAGCTCTTGGTGTATTATATTTGCTACTTGATTGTGTCTATGTAAGTAATCTGTCTGTGCCAAGAGCTTGCAACCAGAAGTGATGTGTTGTATAGTTTCTGGCATGATGTGACATTTTCTGCATGTGTCATTTGTGAGTGTTGTATCTTTGAGTATGTGTTTTCTGTAGTTTTTAGTATTTATGACCTGATCCTGTATGGCAATCATGAATCCTTCCGTCTCCCCAAAGAGGCATCCCCGATCTAACCAGCTGTTTGACGCAGTTTTGTCAACAAAATCCTGGGCCAGGTCGTAAGGATGCCTGCCATGGAGAGCCTTTTGAGCCCATGATTGCTTAATGTTGTCTATGCTTTTTATATGTTGTGTCATGTCTGTATGTTGTGAGTGTAAGTTTAATGGTGTGTTATTTGAGTCTGCTAGAGTTACTGCTTTATGTAACTGTGATGTTTCTTGTTTCTTGTAGAAAAACTCTCGCAGTGACTGTATTTGTTTGTAGTGAAGGTTAACTATGTCAATCAGGCCACGTCCGCCTTCTTTACGTGGAAGGGTTAATCTTTCTGTGGCGGATTTAGGATGATGTTGTTTATGCTTAGTAAGTGTTGTTCTTGTTTTCCTTTGGAGTTGCTCGAGATCTGTGTGAGTCCAATGTATAACTCCAAAAGAGTATGTGAGTACTGGGATGACATATGTGTTTATTGCTTTAACTGTGTGTTTTGCATTTAACTGTGTTCTAAGTATAGCGTTTAACCTACTTTGGTATTCTTTAATTAATCGTTGCTTTATTTGTGTATGTTCTGTTAGTTTGGCCTGTTGGAATCCTAAGTACTTGTAGAACTCGCCCTCTTCCATGGATTCAATAACGTCTCCATTTCCAAGTGCAAAATCTTCTTTCTTCAGGATTCCTTTTTCTATGTGAAGTTTTTTGCATTTGTCTAGGCCAAACTCCATTTGTATGTCCTTAGTGTATGAATGTGTGATTTGTAGGAGTTGATGAAGTTGTTTTTGTGTGGATGCATAAAGTTTTATGTCGTCCATGTACATGAGATGTGACAGTGTAAACTGTGTTGTTTTTTCATGTCTGATATTGTAGCCATATTGCGTGTTGTTTAACATGTTGGATAATGGATTCAGGGCTAGGCAGAACCAGAGAGGACTCAAGGAATCTCCTTGAAAAATTCCTCGCCTAATGAATATTTCGTTTGTTTGTATGGAAGTGTTACTAACCCTGAGATGTAGTGTTGTTCTCCAGTGCTGCATAGTGTTTTCGAAGAATGCAATGAGTGATGGATGTATTTTGTACATGTGTAGAATATGTAGCAGCCAACTGTGTGGAACACTGTCGAATGCTTTTCTGTAGTCTATATATGCCATGTGTATGTTTCTGTGTTGTTTGTGTGCTTGCCGTAGAATGACTGAATCTATGAGTAACTGTTCTTTGCATCCCCTGTGATTTCTACGGCAACCTTTTTGTTGTTCTGTAAGAATGTCGTGTTCTTCAACATGTTTGTATATTTTGTTTGTGATACAGGATGTCAATAATTTGTAGAGTGTTGGAAGACATGTAATTGGTCTGTATTGTGTGGGGTCTGTGGTTTTGTTGTTTTTAGGTTTCATGTAGGTGATGCCCTGAGTAAGAAATTTTGGCATGTCTTGTGGATTGATGATGATGTGTGTTAGATGTTTAGCTAGTTCCTGGTGCAGTGATGTAAACTTTTTGTACCAGAAATTGTGAATGTTGTCTACACCAGGTGTCTTCCAGTTGTGTGTTCTGTTAACAGCGTAGCGAATGTCGTGTACGTTTATTTCAGCACAGGGCATAGTTGGTATGTTGTGCAAGTTTCTGTTCTCCTCCTCGATCCAGCCTGCATCAGCATTGTGTGTAACAGCATTGGACCAAAGAGAAGACCAATAAGTTGTGAGTTCTTCTTCTGTTGGTGTGCCACTGTGCTGTGTATCAGTGTTTGTTTTGGTACTGATTTGTCTGTAGAAAAGTTTTTCATTGTTTGTGAATAATTTATTTTGTTGTTTTCGTAGTGTACATGTTTTGTATCGTTTGAGTCTACGTGCTTTGGCTGCGAGTTTTTGTTTTAGTGTATCGATGTATTCTGTAATGTGTGTGTTGTGATGTTCATGTTTTGTGTGTGTTTTAATTTTCTTGAAAATGTTTTTGAGTTGTTTCTTTAATTTGGGTGTTATGTTGTTTTTAGTGTATTGTGTCAGCCTGCCTAATTGCTGTCTAATGTCATTTATTTGTGTTTCTATTCTTCTCTGCCAGGCAGGCTTATGATAGAATTGTGTTTTGTGTGTGTCTGTCTGTGAGTGTATTTTCAGTCCATGGTGTGTTACTACTGTGACTGCCCCAGCATAAACTAATGTATGAATGTCTGTAAGTGTAGAAATTGAATGAATGTAGTTTGGTAGTAAGTGAGTGTTTACATAATCTAGTGTTTTTCCTACTGCCTTTGACGTGTTGATTTTTGGTATTCGTGGTCTTTGTGTGGGATCTGTACCAGTATATTTAATGAGTGTTTCCTGAAATATAAGTGAGAGCGTATTAACTAATTCTATGTCTACGTTATCAGTGATGGATGGGGAAGTGCCTGCAGTATCATTAGTGGTACTTGTTGTGTGTGTGCTGTAATCAGTGCTTGTTGCTGGATTATCCTGACAGGTTACGTGATCTTCATTAATGTTAAATGTTTCTGTCTGTTGATGTATTTGATCAGCAACCTGTTGTTTGATAAGTTCAAGTGTTGTTTGTGGGATAAGGTTGTTGTGTATAATTGTTCGTTTTTGATCAACAACCCTTTGTTCGGTGACAGTGAGGTGAGGATATTGTTGTGTGAATATGTGGTGTAGTTGTTGTCTGTATGCTGTCATGTTTGTTTCGAGTCTTGTGATGGTGTAGTAAGTGCGGATGATAAACTCGTTCATTTCTGTTGTCCATTTCATCCGTTGGCGTGGTTTTCCAGCCTTTGTGGTCTGTGGATGCATTGCCACAGAAACACCAAGGCTAGGTTGATTCCTCACATCTGTTGAGGGCATTGCAGTAGCCATGCTTGGGCCGGCGCTGCTTTCGCCACCGGTAACCAAGGGAGACTGGAGCCTATTTTTCGAACGTGAGCCTCTGCCTAACCCACGAACGCGGACCTTGTTAACCCGGGCGACGTCCGAGCCGGTATCATACTTAGATCTGGTTACTACCATAATGATTATCTCCACAGAATGTGGGTGTGTGGTCACTCTTAGCTTCATTTCTCCCCATAGACCTTACTGGCATGGGTGTCCCTACCAGGAGCTTGTGCTCCAGCCTGCATTGCCCTATGGATCTGTAAAACTACTGGGCTCTCCCACCACGACCAGGTGGTGACCACGGGAGAGTTATTATTATTATTATTATTAATTAATAGCATAAATACCTGATACACATACACCCCTACAAAATTTCAGAAATCTTTGATAA